CATAAATACATCTGCAAAAGCCAAAAATAGCCCAGTCTTACTCAGGAGTGCAGGGCTCACTGTAGGCTGCTGATGGAACAGGTGCTACTCACACAGCCTCTAGCATCAATGTGACTACAGGTAGGTCTGACCGAGCTACATTATCCTGTGTTTTGCAACAGGATTTTCTTTCTTGTACCCCTCACCTCCTATCCTATAATGCAGCACTGCCACTCCACTCCCTCTGGCTGTGGTGACGGAGCACTTATAGGTGCCAGCGTCAGAGAGCCGCAGGTCTCTCAGCTCCAGTGAAGCATTGCCACCCATCACCTGATCCGCAAACAACGCCGTGCGGCCCCGGAACGATGTGTCTTGCTCTTGCAGGTGGTCCTTCCCATTTTTAAACTCATGAACCAGCCCAGCTACTCCCTCCTTGGCCCACCGGATCACTATGCTGCCCATCCGGATGTCAGGCTCGAAAGTGCAGCCCAGGACACCATGCTGGCCAATGTTCCCCGGAGACATCAGTGTCGTCACGCTGATGGAATGTTTTCCTGCAAGGGGAAAGCAAGGCAGCATGAGAAAGATGAGGTGGTGAGGGCAGAGGAAGGTCATATTGCCCTCCAACTATCATGCATCATCCTCAAGGCTGGACAGGTACCAGCACGTAGCAAAGACACCAGTCGCAGCTACCAGTGCTGCTGGCAGAGGTCAATTCCCATGGCTTATATAGCAAGATAACAATTAGCAAGGTAACAGGAACAATTCTTTACCAGGCAACATGCTTCAAAAAGTAGCTCCTCTTACTGGAGACGAATTCACATGGTGTTTTCTTGGTTACTTCTATGTATCAGATATTTTTCTCTCTTCAGCTGCCAGAAGAGCACTATTTTTCTGTCCTTTTTAGTCAGAACCTCCCTTAATGCAATATAAATGTGATTGCAGGGTGTAATGCTGGCAAAGAAATAAGAAGCTGCTCTTCTACCCTTACTGGAATCCAAACAATTTTCTTTCATCTAAGAAAATTCAGTATTTCTCTTCCCTGGGGACACAGATTACTTCCTAAGTCAAATTCTAACCAGTGAGCTTGAGAATTAGCTACTTCCCACAGCTGGCTCCAATTTCCCATGCAGCCCTTCCTTAAACATCCTCACACAGCACACCATGATGAGGCTGCAATCTGGCCAACACCAAGGTAACACATTTTTGTTGTCTCTGAGGGAGCAGGGGAATGTGCCCCATTCTGGCAGATGTTGCCTGACTTCTCAATAAATACCATTGTCTCTTCCCATCTGGGAAAAGGAGCACTGTAATGCTTTGGACTTTCTGTATGTGTAAATTTAGGGTTCCAAGACCAAGGAAATTTCAGCTAACACAGCACTTCCAACAGCAGAGGCTGTACTATTCTTATCAATCTCATAAATAAATAAAAATATAATTTTTTTTTTAAAAAAGGCCTTCATTTCTGCTGTGAAGCATAGTCCAGAAACTCATTTCCTGAGGCAAAATGAGGCCAACAGATTTTCCTCACTCAGCTCTGAGTAACAAATGCTGGTGTCTCCTAACCCACCCTGAGCACATGTGTGGGTGTGGGTGTAAATCTCGGCATTATTTAAAACCTGCAAGAGCTCTCAGTCTCCAAGGAGAGCACAGCTCCTTGTGGTTTCATGCCACAGAGCAATACCTTGCTGAGAAAGGCCAGAATGGAAGTCACTCATGCAGTTTTAATTCTGCCATCTGGTGCATAAGCTTTATAAAGTGAGCCTTCATTAAAGGGTCACAAGCAGCACTTCCACACAAGATCACACCTCAGCCCACGCACAGGGTGGAGACAGGGAGGTAGAGGCATGGCAGAAGTTCATCACCCCACTAGTAACAGCAAGAAATCTGAGCGGTCACGAACCTGAGACACCAAACCCAATGATCAGGGCGATCACCGCAGCCAGGATGATAATGACTGTAGTCATGCTATTTGGGGAAAAAAAGAAAGGAAAACGTCACCAAGCAGCCCACCTCCTTCACACCCTGCACCTACAGTGCACATCTGCAGAGCTGCTGACAGGAAAGTCAAGGCGGGTAGGCTGCAGACCTAGAGCAAGGTGGACTGGTGAAGCACACAACCATGGTAGTGATGAACATTTGGGTGAACACTCATCATCAAAGGTGGAGGAAGATGCGGCAGGTGGAGAGGAGACCCAGGCTTTGCTTTTGGGAGGAGGCAGCAGGTCCCAATGGAGCCTCACCTTCATCCCTCTAGATTAAATCCTTCTTCTAAACAGTGGGCAAGGAAGAAATTGCTGGGAGCTGAGGGATGCTGCCTCCTGTGCAGTCCCTAAACACTTTAGGTGTTCTTGCCTCTGGTCCTTGAAAGGCCCCTCTGGCCCAAATACCACCTCTGGCCTAGCACTCAGCTGGGCAAAACTGTCCTCAGCTTGCCCACAGACAAAAAAACCCAGCACAAATGGGCCAGCACCAATGCCCTTGTCCCCTGCTGGCACCACCTGCCCTGGTAGCTGCAAAGCCTTCCTAGCTTTGCATCCAGAGAGGTGCTTCCCCTCCATGATTCAAGGCAGCAGCAAGGCTGATGGAAAAAGATGCTCATTTGTTACAGGGGGGGTGGCAATTTGGGGTACACAGATGCCACTGCCCACTTCTTTGCCAGGGACAAGGGGAAATCAGGCCCTTGGGAGTTTACTCCTCAGAAACTGCAAGGCCCAAGAATCACAAGGGCCCTAAAAATATTTTCCTGCAAGCTCCCCGTGCACATTGAGTAGATCTGGAGTGCAGGGTGGAAAAGAGGAAGCTGGCAATCCGTCCACATGCTGACGGTGGCTGTGTTTCGCAACAGTCCTGTCCAGCAGTTCAAGCGGAAAGCAATTTTCTGTGCATCAGCACCCCTCGTACTTTCAGCGTTTCTTTCAAAGGCATGGAAACGGCATGGTGCAGATAGCTGGGGCTGCACAAGTCAGAGCTCTGAGGCCAACTTCAATTCCTGGCGCTGTTTCAGCAACCTGCAGGATTCTGCTCTGTGGATCCTACCTTCTTTTCTGTGGCCCCATTCCTGATAAGCCAAAAGGAATTTGGCATGAAATTCATTCATTCTCTGCTTGAATGCTGCGCAGCACAGCCCAGGAACAGAGAGAGAGGCACAGCCCTGCTGTGATAGGCAGCAGAGGCTTAATCCTCCCGATCTCTAGCTCCACTTACAGTGAGCTTTCACTAGGGAATGGGCTTTAGAGGTGTGAGGATGACAAAAACGTGGAAGATAAAGAGATTGAGGGTCCTCTGCCTTCCTCCTTATATCAAAGCTTGCTGTGGAAAAGAAATAGCATGGCAGGGGTAACCCAAAAGAAAAGGGTTTCCATTCCAATGAGCTGTTAATGATTGCAGCACTCAACTTTCCTCAGCATTTCAGTATTATTTTTGGTTTGTTTTTTTGGTCAGTTGGTTGGTTGGCTTGTTGGTTTGGGGCTTTTTTGTTTGTTTGTTTTTTTCCTGAAATCAGCTGAAACCTCCCACTGGTCCTCTGAAGCTTCTTGGAAAATCCACCCCTCACCCTCTCTGTGCTGTTTCTGCATTTCAATATCAGCCTGAAGAGGCCAATGTCCTTGAAGAAGCCTGCTCCTTCCAGTGACCTGCTGCTGTCTGGCTGCGTGCAGCTGCCTGGGGCAGGCAGAGGCAGAGCCAGAGGATAGTTCTCAGAGCAGCAAGGGGTAGGTGTACATTTTTTCACACTCGTCGGTTACTGCGTTTCCCTGACAAAAGCCAGCTGGGCTGCCTCTTGAGAATAACAGAACTGGTTATTACGTGCATTCCAGACACATGAGGAATACGATGCCCAGTGAACACTTGCACTGTGTCACATTATGTCTACTAGTGATCTCACTTTCGGCAGTGAAAAGGTGCAAGTAATATTACTATTTAGTTCTTTCTTGATGCTCCATATGAGAAAGGTGGAGCTCAGCTCCTGCGTGAGAGGTCTCTTCTGTTCACATATGAACTTCCTTTTCCCCACTGCTGTTAAGCTCAAGTGGGACAAATACTCATACCAGCTGAAACATTTTTGACTGA